CCACTTTTTCCAAAAGGCCGGTAACGCACTTATAACGCCTTGGTGTTTTGGGTGTCCATGGGCGGCGCCGATTGCTTACCATCAGGTGATCCGTCTGCTTGCTTACCGGCTTATGCTATAAAAAAAGCAAAATATTCGCAAAGTTATAGCTGTGTGCTCTCGACATGTTCCAAGATAAACACCCGAAAGAAATTCCAAGCCCTTTCCAAACACACGACACAAAAAAAAACAAAATATTCCATTTCCAATTTTAAAACCACACATTGACGTAAGTAGTCCATTCATATTGTACTCTGTGGTATGGAAACACCGCGTCCCTTAATCCCACGTGAGCCAACCGCCGCCGACACGACATCAGGTATCAATAATTCAGAACACAATCTGGCCTCTCTCGAATATTATTTTAATAAAACAGTTTGTAATAAAAGACACGTACTTTGTTATTCTTGTTTTACAACAGGAGATGTTGGAGCTGCTACATTTGTTATGGGTTTATGGCTTACATACTTTGCGGCTTAATCCTGTGGTTCATTAATTCTTGACGTGGACTCTTCAACTTAGTTCTTCAACTTCAACAACTCAACATCTTTAACAATAACAACAAAGACTGCACGGTTGGCACGGTGACTGGACAACTGGCTGCCGTGCATTGTGTCGCGGGATCGATTCCCGCATGGAACAACTCTTTGAGTGATCCACAGATTGTTGTTCCGGGTCTGGGTGTCATGTGTATGTGATATTTTGTATGTTTGTAAATGCACCCACGACAAAGGAGAAAATCCTAGTGTGGGCCAACGTATTAAAAAAAAACTTTATGTTGGTTCCAAAGCTCAGGTTGTAGGTAGTAGTTGGGGTTACGTAAATACAGTCAAATTTAGAAAATAATTTCGATATCTTTCTACAGATTTGTACCTAAACTGTTTTACAAAACATTGTATGATTGCAGAACTAATCATACGAATGTGATTTCAAATTTGTTCGTACGAGTCAAGATAGTTCTTAGAAATAATAATAGTTATCTTTCATTTGAAAAGCACCCACTATTAATCGCAGGGCCTTAAAGACACCAGTGGACGGTCGATGGCCGAAACTACTATTCATCTACACCAACGATGGATCGTAGGTCGACAAAGGATTTAAAACTGACAAATGCCAAAGAAAACATTGTTCGAATATGTCTATCCCTGGAAAAGTTATATAGGTATGTGATATATGCATGAGTAACGGTAACACTTTTTTTTAAGCGGGGAAAATCATCGAATGACTGCTCCCGCCTGGGCTAGGCGGGAGGGAGTGTCAGACTCTTACTGACTAAAAACCACCCCGTTCCTACTCCTGCACGTCGAGCCGTAGCCCCGGTTACCCGTTAGGTTCTCCGATATGAGAGTACGTGCAGGTAAAAATTGCACTTTTCATACATATCAGTTGTACAAAGCTTCTATATACAGGCTGTCCATCCATGTTTCGATATTTTCAAAAATGTCGTATAATTTTTAAACCGTACAATTTCGCTGAACATGCATTGGGTGGTTTAGGTAGGTATTGATCCCAGCTATCACCCCTTACAGTATGGTGCACTATTTACTGGACACCCTGTATGTACCTAACTATATTGTGTATTCTTGGCGCAGTAACCACACTCAATGCAGATACAGACGAATGCATTCACATGAGAAGATTATTGAATAGATTAATGTGGTTATAACAATATGATATATTATACATGTTAGTTTGCCCGGTATATGGCAATAGGCTCACCCCCTATTACATGGGACTCATAACATAAATAGTGAAAAGTGGGTGTTACATTGTACAGTGACATTAAGTGCCGTAATGCGCACCTCTGCCTACACCTTCGGGGATAAAGGCCGTGATTATGCTATGTAATAACAAACAAAAAGTAAAAACTACAAAGCAAAAAATAACTACTATAAGTACTGATAGGTTACCCACCCACTGAGGTTAGAAGTCGGCACCATAAGTTCTATTCAAAATTATTCATTAAAACCTTAATAGATATCTAATTTACAATTTTGTGGCCATTAACACGTTAAACGCCATGGCAGTCACCGGTGACCGACATTAGCGGAGGATTTGCCTTCAACAGTTTTTTATTGGCAGCCAATGCCTTAAGTTATATTTTATGATACCTATAAGAAAAAAACAACAAATTAAGAAGAAACACGATTTAAATAGGCCCCGATCATACCCACAACAAACGGACCGTCATTATAATATCTTGATTGGGAAATGATGCTACCCTTAAAACCATATTAGATAATATGAAAATTATATCCAGTTCATTGCCATGTGAGGCATACCTAACTCGTAGATAATGGCGATAATAAGTAACTGGTATAATGGCTGCACTTAGCGTTGCCAGGCGTCCGGATAAAGCCGGACATAGGTAGGCTTTTTGATTGCTAGTCCGGCCAAAATAAACAGTGTCCGGCCTGTCCGGCTTTTGTTAGGCTTTTTACCTAAAAAAAGGGGTTTCGTTTGATTTTAGTTTTTAGTTTAAAAGAGAAGTTTTATTTTTATGATAAGTTTACAGAGAAGAAGTTTTGTTTTATTGTTTAACTTTTGAAAAAGAAGCTCTTGACTGGTTTTAATAAAGAAAACCAAAAATATTAATAGTTATTTTTGGGAATGTTATGTAAAAAAGGAGTTTCGTTTGATTTTAGTTTTAAATTTAAAAGACAAGTTTCATTTTTGTTTACGTTTATAGAGAAGAACTTTTTTTTAAATATTTACCTTTTAAAATAGAAGTTTTTGATTGTATCACCTTTTGATTTTAATAAAGTATCTTCTTAACTTAAGAAGAATCTTAAGACTGATTTGACATTAGGTTTTTATTAATTATTTCATAAGAATTCAACAAGATTTATGACAATAATCAAAAATGCTTGATTTACATTAAATCTTGTCGTACCTATTAATTATTAATACCCTTATTAATACTGAGATACAAAATCCTTAAGAATGTAGGGTGTCCGGCCTTTTTAGCCAAATGTCCGGCTAAACGGGCTGGTCTGTCCAGCTATAAGGCCTAACGACCTGGCAACCCTAGTTGCACTATACAATATACATTGCGTAAGATAACAACAGTTGTTTATGCCTTGTTCAGTAAAAAAAAAATATACAGCAATACTATCCCCACCTGCCAATTAACTATGGAAACTTATGAGATGTCTATATTGTCTCTGGGCTGAAAATAAATTGTTGAGTTGTTCGAAAGAATTATTAATAAAACTGCATTTTGATAATAACTAGCGGACCCGATATAGCGGGTTCGATTCCCGGCTCGGGCAAACTATTACTGGGTTTTAAAAAAATCTCAGTAGTACCACGGAGTCTGGAATTGTGCCCGGTATATGGCAATAGGCTCATCCCCTATTACATGGGACTCATAACATAAATAGTGAAAAGCGGGTGTTACATTGTACAGTATACTGTGGTACAGTGACATAATCTGTAGATAGATTACAGATTATGTCACTGTACCACGTACATGTGTACGGTAGGCAGAGGTGCACCTCACCCCTCCGGGGATAAAAGGCGTAATGTTATGTTATGTTACGTTACTAGCGGACCCCGCGAACTTTTTTTCGCTTTGAAAAATGATTTGCGCATCTTGGAGAAATTCTAATAATACCTAATAATAAACAAAAAAAGAATTAGCGAAATCGGTTCAGCTGTTCTCGTGATTTGCGCATAGCGATTTAGAGATTCTATTTTATACTGTAGACATTATGATATTATGTTATTGTACAAGTACGTCGTGGCTATCATAATAATTGTTTTAAGCATTCATACACAATGATCCCTAGAGGCAATTCTACGTTCCGAAATATTCCGACCATATTAGTTGTATGGCTTAGAATGTGTTCTAGCTAGACCATTTTATACAATTAATTTCAGTATTTTTCTTGGTTTTCTTTTTTCATATTTTACAATGTAATTTGTATATTCTTATAATAACTATCGTGAGACATACCGAATTAGGTAAAAATAACGATTTACTCGTAAATATGCTGAGAAAAGCTCTACTAGTTTCGAGTTACAGAGGAACTCTTTCTCATGAGCAGCGTTTCTCTGTGACTATTTTTTGTTAATTCATTGTAATTAGTTTTTTTTATGGCATAAGCCGGTAAACGAGTAGACGGATCATCTGATGGTAAGCAATCGGCGTCGCTCATGGACACCTGGAACACCAGAGGCGTTACAAGTGCGTCACCGGCCGGATTGGGGAAGGGGAAGGTAATTGGGCCTCCGGTAACCTCACTCACACGACGAAACACAACGCAAGCGTTGCTTCATGTCGGTTTTCTGTGAGGCCGTGGTATCACTCCTGTCGAGCCGGCCCATTCGTGCCGAAGCACGGCTCTCTCACACTTAGTGTAGAAAAATGATACTTTATGATAAAAAATGCTACAAAAAATTAATATTTGAATCAATAAAACTGAATTTACTTTACACTTTCAAATTAATATCGTAAATGCAAAATAGAGCTTCAATTTGATCCGTAACGTAATAATAAAATAATATTGCAGAATTAAATTAAATTGTGAAATAAATCAACATGTTCCGATATATTATTGATACATTATTTTATCTCCGTATTTGCATTTTAAATGAAGATATAATGTTTATTTAATTATAATCGTTATTTCGGATCGTTTGTGTAATATCGAATTGTTTTATTGGTGGATTGTTGTGTAGGATTACAGAGATAATCATACTGACCAGTAGAGTAGACTGTTGGCTATGGAATTTTAGGTTCTGTAGCTTTTATTTATAAACTATCTAAGTACCTTAGTACCTTAAATATCCCTCGAGAAACCAAAAAAAGAATAAGATTTAGATAGGAAATATAAGAATAAAAGATTAAGATTGGCTTTCCGTCGTATTTCTACTAAAATAGATAATGTATATTAGCCCTTTCGTTACCAGATACTCCCCTTCCATATCATTAACAACCCAATTTTCTACTTTCAAAGGAAGACGACGATGACGGCCGCCCACTCATCAGTATGGAGGTGAAGAAGCATGACAAGCCTGGCAGCCTGTCCCCCGTGAAGCTATCAGTGAAGAGAGACAGTGGGGACGAAGGCAAGTCCTCGAGGTCCAGCAGTAAGAGTGAGAAGGAATTGAGGCTACCACCAGAGAAGTCGCCGAGTGAAGATGCTGCGCTAAGACGGGAGAGGAGACTCTCTAAGGCTAGTGATAGCTCTAAAGAGACTTTGGAAAGGTAATTAGGAGGGAGCTATGTTACTGATTCTAAAACTTTTCCTATTTAATCTTATACGTAGCTTATAACTAGTTGAATTTTACGTATTTTTTGGAATCGTACGAGTACCACAAAAGGTAATAAAATAAATAGATAAATAAATATTTAATAACCCCTTCTCAGTTCGTCTTGCCTATTTGCTCTATTTTAATTATGAAAATATCAATCGGAATGCAAAGAAAATCGAATTGAATATGAACATGTCTAAAGCATTTTAGAAGAATCGCATTGGAACAAAAACAAAATTCATATTCCATTTTACACACTTATGCGTCCGTAATAAAAACATTGAACTCAATAATAAACTTAAGAAGAAGGAAATTGTTTCACACACTTTATATATCAACGAATCAAATATGTAAGAACCAAACGCAAAGCAAAATGAGTAACGACTTTGTAAGCTTGCTAGCTTTTGTAAACGGCTTCACTTGCAGAGAATTTAAAAAAAAATTAAGCATGTCGGGATTTAACGAGGCCTATGTTACTCTTTGAAAAGTAAACTTCCCAATAGTCAAAGATTTGTTTAAATCGATACAATATTTTAAGAGACTATTCAATGCAAAAGAAACAGCAATAAAATCTTTCTGCTCGATAATATTAGTGTAGACAAGTAAAAAAAACCTTTACCAAATAGATGATATGTCATGTATGTATATTTTATAGCAAAACGTTATATCCTTTGAAATATGCATCGATGCTTCTTCGCGCATCCTCAAAGCATCAGACGAGAATATTTCAACCATAACCTAGATTTTAAAACTGGACTCAAAAGAACCAAGATGGCTGCCAAACAGTATAAAGTTCTCGTTCATTATAGCTGAAACGTTTCCAAAGTGCATATCTTGTTTCAGTTATGAAAACTTTAAAGTGTTTCATTCAGCTTGATTTTATTGATGTTACGGTGAAGTTTTACGTATTTACTCTGTTAAATGGAATTACTGTGAATTTAGGAAAGATTTTGATATTTTAATTACTTTATCGAATGATGAATTTTGAAAGGTTTTATTTATAATTTAAGCTATAATGAGATTCAGGCCTTTAACTTTCATCCGAAGTTTAGTCATACAAAAAAGCATTTAATATAAACATTTACATGTACATTATGTATGTATGTATGTACATCAACCACAAAAAAATACAATTAACAAATTAATCTCAATACACAAGCCCAAATATCCGATAAGTCCCGATAACGTCAATATAAATACAATACCTATAAAAAGGGGTCAAAAAGCCTTAATTGAGAGGTATCGTAATCCATCATGGCTGCCAGATGATCGATGACTTAGGTACTTAGGAGGTCCCTTAATAACGGCATGTTTCGTGACCAGAAATATTCGTAAACATGTAATCAGTTTAGTTGGATCTCGATGCCAAGTTTCAGTGCCGGTTTAACTTTATGATTTATTGGTTAAACTAACGGTAAGGATTTACTACTGTTCAAAACAATGCGTTGAAAGTCACATAACAATGGTTATAATTTATTGTCTGTATGGTTGCCTTTGGTTTCTTGGCTACGACACAGATGATGCCATATTTAACGAAACCTATCCAACACCCTGTTTTAAACGAAGAAAGTAATATTTTCTTTAATTTTAGCCTATAATAGGACTTTTTTCTATGTCGTCGTTACATTGGTGCATATACAAATATACAAATTCAGACATGCATCCATTGCGTTTCCAATTTTTATTTTTATTTTTATATATTATGGGCCGACGTCTGGACCACTATCTCGCCTGGTGGTAAGCCATGATGCGGTCTACGATGGAGCACGTCGTCCCATAATCAACCTATTCACTTGGGCCTTGAAGACACCCAGGTTGTAAAATTAAAATAAATAAATTTTAGGTGGGAGAATTGGGGTTTCCGATAACCTCACTCACACGGCGATACACAACGCAAGGGTTGTTGTACGCTAGTTTTCTGTGCTACCGTTGTATTACTGCGGTCAAACTGACCCATTCGTGAAACAAGGAGCCTAGTGTAATGTTTATAGATAATGTAATGATACTTTAGAGGGTTTACTCGTTCAGTGGAGTTTAGTAGACGCCATCAAACATAAATGAAGAGTCTAGTGCTCGGAATGAAGGGATAGAAACGACACTAGACGACTACGTAACGACGGTCTTTTATACCCAGTAAGTAGGAATGTTATGTCTCGCTGTAATACTTGTTGTAAACCTTAAAAATGCCTCATTTTGTCTGCCCCTAGAGACGTCCGTAGTCGGTCATGGTCATAATATAGTAGATTTAAGTAGTACTTAAATGTTCATGTTTGTTGTAAGTATCTACATATAATGTACAATTATACATGCTATGTTATATTAATTATTATGTTTTCGGCTTACTCACGTAACTTTTTGATGAGGAACTCGACTACTTTCATGAGCAACATTCTACGACACGCAATGTGGCGACTGTCACTCTACTACTGAATATGAGCTTCTAACATGGCTTGAAACTAGTCGAGTTCCTCGTCAAACAATTACATGAGTAAGCCGAAAACATAATAATTAATTTATCACAAAAGTTATAGTATGTTATGTTATTCGATAAATATTTGGGCCTACAGTTTATGCAACTCAAGATTACTAAGTCATGACTAATTAAAGTCAAAGTCAAAATCATTTATTTCAATTAGACCAGAAAGGCACTTTTGAACGTTAACAAAAAAAATCTATTTGCTCATTGCAAGGTGTAGATGCCTATGGAGAAGAACGAGTAAGAAACTCCATAGGTTACTCTTTTTCAATCAGGCTCTAGTTACATAGTTTTATTGTTTGGATTGTGCGAGAACAATGTAACACTAAATCCAGTCAAAGAGATCGAGTCATTATGATGTGACATGTACTTAAATGGCTTTATCGAATGAAATGACTGATCATTAAATATTGATCTTATAAATCAAAGTTAATAGGTGTCAACATATACATAGGTACTAGCAATAACATTTTAGTAATATTACATTACATTCTTGAAAAAATAATCTACTATAAGTTTTCCTCCAATATAAGCACTGAATCGTAAATTGCAGTACAAAAACAGCGCGCAATTTGTTCGCAAGCTGAAAGTGATAGCTCGCCGATTTGTCAGCGGCGACAAATACATACGAACATACGGGGAAATATTGCATGCTGAGCGTTTCTCATTGTCACAGCTGTTTACATATTCAAAAGGGAAAAATCAATAAGTTACAGCACGAACACAAGGACAGGACGCCCACAAATAAAGTTCTTCAAGTATTCTTCCGAAGTGTTTGTGTAACTTATGGTGGTGGTACCTTTAATATAGGCAGGTACTATGGTTTATGTTTGAAAGGGATATAGTCAGGAATGAACCGTATATTCTTTTTTTGTTAATTTTCTTAGTATGAGAGAGATGAGAATTTTCAGTAGGAGCGTAGTATCTTAATTTCTGTTTATTCTTACCACGATTGGTAGCAACTAAGCTGACGGTGCATCTGATCTTATAAGACAATCGTACTTTCACGACATGGTTGGTGCGGTGGCTGAGTAACCGGCTGCAGCGCTACTCGCGACAGATGGGTTTGATTCACGCACGGAGCAACTCTTTGTGTGACCCACAAATTGTTGTTCCGGGTCTGGGTGTCATTGTGTATGTAAACTTGTATGTTCGTAAACGCACCCACGACACAGGAGCAAAAATCTAGAATGGCGCAACATTTTTTCAAAATATGTAAAGTTTTTCTTAGTTGAATAAAATTTATTATTATTATTTATTATGTGCTGTGCGATTAATTCAACTATCTATCTATAACCCTGATTCGATTTCAAACAAGAACCCTAATTCTCATGTTCAGAGATAAACAAATGACGGAAACACGTGGCAGACCTGCGCAAAAATAAGAAAGTAATCAAATAAACATTAAAATGCAGTTACCATTGTCATCACGCGCCTTCCAAAACCACTAAACGCACAGTCACCAGCAGATCCAGCTACACCTTGCTGTCAAATTCCTTTATTCAATTATCAACTCTATCGTTTAACCGTAAGGTCGAAAATCCCGTGAAAAAATTTAACAAGTTGAAGTAGCATAACATGCCGGCTACTCTACATAAGTGTTAGCTAAACAAATAATCGATTCATTTTGTCTCCAGGCAAGATTCCAAATCCACGTCACTGTCCAGCCCAAAGGTCTCCCGTAAATACTTCACAAATTGGCGTCAGGCATGTGACAAGACGAAGGATAAGACCAAGGAACTGCTGAAGCGCTGGAGGACACTGCCAGAGTCTGAGGGAGCTGAGTCACCGATGCAGGCCGCAGGGAACAGCGAGGACGATAAGCATCGAGGGTGGAGTGTCCACGTTTGGAGTGAGTACTTCTATTATATATTTATTTAGGCTGCTAGAGTACCGATTGCATTTAGTAGAAGAATGTTTTTGTTTGCAAAAGAATACGATTTATACTGCAACTCGCTACTTCCGCGCGGTTTCACATGCTCTACTCAGCTCCTATTGGTCGTAGCGTGATGTTTTATAGCCTATAGCCATCCTCGATATATGCGCTATCCAACACAAAAAGAATTACTCAAATCAGAATTGTAGTTACGGAGATTAGCGCGTTCAAACAAAAAAGAAAACAAACTCCTCTTTATATAATAATATAAGATTCATTTCGATGAACCAAATTTTTCGATTCCCGGGTCGGGCAAAGCAATATTGGGATTTAAAAAAATCTCAGTACTAGCACGTAGTCTAGAATGGCAATAGGCTCACCCACTACATGGGACTCATAACATAAATAGTGAAAAGTGGGTGTTACATTGTACAGTGGCATTAAGTGCCGTAATGTGCACGTCTACCTACCACTTTGGGGATGATAAGCGTGATGTTATGATTTTTATGTCTTAAATCAATATCTACAATGTTAGAAAATACACATCGTTGTGGATTATGGATCTATTTATTTATTTAATTGTTCACAAAACTATAGTTTCAGTCTATGTACACTGCAAAATGTGTTTTATTATTTCTTCTATTAGGTACTTGGGAATAATAACATGGATGAAAATTGTTTGTATTATACGGGAACATTTTCTTAATATGATAATCATATACAACCTCTAGAGCGTAGTTTAAAAGGTCTAACCAGTTATAATTTGGATATACATTGTTATACACTAACGACCTCATATAGGCTGTATGGTCGTTGTTACACATATACGCCAAAAAGGTCAAGACATATTTAACATGGTTCCAACATACAATAGGGTTGACTAATTTTTATTGTAATGTCCGTCTGGTAGATTATTTTAAAACCTTGGGCACGTATTTTTATTTTCTTACGAATAGTTTTGTAGATATATTGATTTGAAATATCGCATGACGTTACTTTTGAGTACGATTTATACTATAAAATGACGTAGCTACCTCCCACTCCTAAACTTTAATTCGTTTTATTTAAGTATTGTTTTCTTATACGACAAAATTAAAAAATACTTGTCTAATATTTTTTCATTACCTAACCGACGGACTAATTAGATTTTTAATTTTCATTCCCTGTCATGATCCCGATTCATGTAGGTGAAATATAATATGTATCAGATCGGCATTTGAATTAGTCCCTTACAATGACCACAAACCACCGTCTTACATGTTAAATTCCACAGTAATAAATTCTATAAAATAATATCTATATGAATAACAATAAATGTTTTCGTATTTTCTTCACGAACGCCTAACAAATATGCCCTTAAAAATAACAAGGGATAATCCTCGCGTATCGAAAACAGAAGCACAATTTACGGAGGCACTTGACTTCTAACAATCTATTACAAAAGAAATATTTACATTGAATATCCCCATTTACTTCAAAATATATAACACTCAGTGGTCCTTAAATAATCTATGCAAACCCTTTCGTATTCACATCAGACCTTCATTATTCTATTATAAAATAAAACTACAGGATCTAAACCATATTTTTTATGGTAATGTCCATTTTATGGAGACGGCGCGGCACTCAAATCTTATAGGAAACCTTTCACAGTCTCCACTATTTAACTCGTTGAATACTGTCTTTGTAGACACAATTATAGAACAATAGGTTGCGGTCACCGGTGACCGCTTGGTGTTTGACAGTTTAAGAAGACCAGGGTTAGTTGTTTCACGTATAATTGTGTCTTAGTGGTCATTCGTAAATATCAAGTCATTGATCGATGACAGGTCTGCGGACAACCTTGCAGGAGTAGGAACGGGCTGATTTTTAGTCCATAAGAGTCTGATACTGCCTTTCGCCTACCCTCGCCGGGGGGAGGATCATCCAAAGACTTTTCTTACCCAAGGTAAGAAAAGTCTTTGGATGATCCTCCCCCCCCCCCCAACCCCCACAAAGACATGATGGTAATGAAGTTGTCACCGCTCATCGAAGCTCATTTTTTGATTCCGCATCATCCATCAATTTTGGAATTTCGTTCGTCAAGATAATATTAGGACCTCTGTAACAGACTATCCATGAAACAACTCTCCTTAATAGTGAAGAGTTTCATAGTGTCCCCCACACAAAATGCAAAAACAATTTAGGTCATTTTGGGTGAACAAAACCCTAACCACAGAACGAATTTCCGAGACAAAATTTCTAGAATATTCCTCTTTATTATTTCAGTAATTCCTGTTATAAAGGACAGAACGTGTTTTCCAAGCGCACACCAAAATATACCACAATTTAATAGGAAGTAAGTTTTAAACGAAAGTGGGAACAACGTTAACATTAGTATTAACTTTGGTCCCGGATTTTGTCACGGAATTTTAACTAATGCAATGAACCGATCTGAGTTTGAAATTTTCTCTCACAATTACCTGATTTTCATTGGCTTTTTAACCATCCCTTTCCAGTTACGTGCTTTTTGCTTCTAAATGGGTGATTAAACTTACTTTTCCAACTTTCTTCGATAAAATCCATTTAATAATTACACAGATAAATCTAAGATCACTCTGGTATTGATCTCCAAAATGCTGAACATTCTTAAAATTCATAAATAATACGCCATATTCTGGACAATAGATATTAAATTTAGAATCAAAGTCAAAGTCAAAATAATTTATTTCAATTAGACGAGAAAGGCACTTTCGAACGTCAACAAAACATCTATAGAATATCCTAGACAAAACATATTACAGGCTTGCCTTAGCCTACATAGGTAGACTAGGCATAGGCCTTAGGGAAGACACGAGCATGACGTATTTGTGGTTTGTTGAGACAATGCAACGAGCATCGAAATCCATTTAGTGGTTGAATCTAAGATTAGTTCCCTACAGTATCGACGTGCCAATAGCCAGGAGTATGTGAATTGTGTGTATTATATATATATGTGTGTGTATAGATATCTAAACTATAGAAACTAATTCATTATTGCATACAAATTTTTCCTCATGGCCTCGCCCATGGAAAAAGAATTATGATTAGAAAAAACTATTCTATAAGAAATCCTTTAAAAAAAATAGCAGCGTCATCCCATTGTTATTGAGAGATATTTTGTAGATAACGCATTATACCATGTCTTTGTGAAGATAATAGAACACACCCTGTAAAAAATATCTTGTCACAAATTAGTTTTCTGACGTTTACATGATTTCTAAACAAAAAAAAAACATCAAATCTTCATTCAATTTTGACGAGAAAGAAGGACAAACAAACACACTATCACATTAATAAATGATGTCTTCAATTTACCTTATAAGCTGTATCTACACTTATTCCATTGTACGCCAAATACACACCTTTTGTTTCACAAAATAACGAATATAAAGACTAAAATCTTCACGTATTTGAATTTTTACGTAAAATAAAAGCGTCTGGAAATCATATTTCTTTTTGTTGAAGATAAGAAACGTGGAATGTATGAATTTACATGTCTTATGAGGCTTACACGAGAGAGCTACGTTTGGTAACAAAACAAGTATGAAACAATCTAGTTTTGCTTGACATTTATAAATGTAAATCTATAAGCTATTTATGGCCAGTCTTTCAAAATATGACGAAAAATTAATATAGGTACGTATTTTAACTCGTCGAGTACCGGTTTTGTAGACACAATTATAGAAAACTAGGTTGCGGTCACCGGTGACCGCTTGGTGTTTGACAGTTTAAAAAAAGATCATTGCCCCCACACTAGGACATTCTCTTTACCTACATTATGCAACCTATCTTTACTGATATATTATCAAGACTGTCTCGTTTGCCGAGCGGTCGCAAGTGCGACTGCCGGGCAAGGGGTCTCGGGTTCGATTCCCGGATCGGGCAAAGTATTACTGGGTTTTAAAAAAAAATCTCAGTAGTAGCACGGAGTCTGAAATTGTGCCCGATATATGGCAATAGGTTCATACCCTATTACATGGGATCATAACATAAATAGTGAAAAGTGGGTGTTACATTGTGCAGTAGCATAATGTGCACCTCTGCCTACCCCTTCAGGGATAAAAGGCGTGATGTTACGTTACGTTAATATCAAGACAAACGTGCGCACGTTTCTTTGTTTTTTTTTTATTTCACATCACAACGGAACGATGTGCATGCTGAGTGTATGTCATCATCATCATCATCAACAGACTGAAGACGTCTACTGCTGGATCAAGGCCTCCCCCATTTTTTTTAATATTATATGGGGCTGACGTGTGACCACTATCTCGCCTGATGGTAAGCGATGATGTAGCCTACGATGGAGCACATCGACCCATAAGCAACCTTAGTCCTCCACGTTGAACGACAACTTGCCGCCCGCATCCACCGGCTTCCCGCAACTCTTTGTATGTAGAGAATCTTTAGGGAGGCTGGACAATCTTATAGGTTCCTTTCTATTCTTGTTATTACACGGGTGAAGCCGCGTGTACTGCCACTAGTACTGAAATAAAACATGCCCTTTGATCGTGAACTTTGAAGATTTTTTTCCTTTTACGTTCTGGATTACTAAACAAAGCAAATATATGATAACGTATTTTCATTTCTTTATATTTTCTACTACACATTGTATAGAATATACTTTACTTTATCGTTTCAAACGGTTTAAGTATATACGTTTTTCTTGTACTATTGTTTTATGATCCCTTGGGAATTGTGAAATAACGAATCTTACAAACGTACGGTACCTACCTAAAATAATATCTACAGCTGGCAATTGTTTTTATTTGTCTGTAAATGGTTTCTTTTGTTCTAGTTTGTTAGTGTTTATTTATTCATCCACGCAATTGTAATTGGTGGATTTTTCTTTCAGTAAAAACATAACATCTTGTTTTTAATCCCTAATAGGGATATATTTTCCTCCTTTTGCGAAGCAGTCATGCTAGCTAAGGAGGAAGCGGGACGCGTTAGGCAGC